CCAAAAATAACGTTAGTTAGATCTTTAAAGATAAATATTGGGCGTCGCAGGAAAATGCAAGCTGCACCGAAAATGATTACGTACTTGTACAAAGTTGTATGTTTTTTTTTCCTACAAGGAAACTTTCATTCCGTGTTCAGAGATTTATATTTTGCTGCCCTAAACAAGTTAGTTTATTTTATGGAATGACAGTATTGGAACAGAAAATGGTAAATACATCGAGACACGAGATTCTGGTCGTCAACGCCTGGACTGCTCAAACTGGTTGCTGAGACGCCACGGTTTCGCAGTTCGCGGATATGCGAGTCCACAAGAGACTTGAGAGGGCAGACAACCAAAATTATTGCATGGCAAGGGTATGAGTAGCCTCTTAAGGAAAGGTACTTGCAAACATCAGGTAACGACTGAAATATTATATACTTTCTATGTCCGGTTGATAAAATGGTGAACACATCCTTTCGACTCAACGCGGCGAACAAAGCTTTCTTTTGTTGCTCAGTGAGACTCAGGAAAGCGCTCATCAAGTACCGAGGTCAAAATTTCTTCGAATATTCTTTCAGGAACAACATCCATGTCAAAATCTCGAAATATGGCGTGCCTTTACGTGCCCTGGTCGCGTGCAAATGTTATTGTGAGTGCAGCATACAAACAATTTTCTTCCCTGGTAGCGAGAGGCAAAATGAGATGTGAAAATCTTCAGCGTCCCCTCGGTAGTTACAATTAAACGAGCCAATCTAATTGGTTTGCGTGTTTGAAAAAATATCAACCAATCAACGCTCAAGGGTCAGATCCTGACCGTATCGTCTGCATGAAAGTGAGATTTGAGGCCAAGGTAACCAGAGGTTTTTCTCTCTCTCCTCGTCACTTTCGCCACTCGGTGTCGCCGCTTCGCGGCTCGCTCTTGATCTCTTTCGCGAAAAAAAAATAAAGAAAAACCTCTGGGACCAGGGTAAAATAACGTTAGAAAATTGTCTAACATCAACCAGTCATATAGATCATTATATTGAAGCTTACTCTTGGCTTCCATCGCTGCTTTCAATCCTCACACGCTTCCATTTCTTACTATTACTTATTTCACGTTTACCAGGAGAATAACTCTGCTGCAAATTTACATTTATCTTGAATGTTCCTCCACCAATTGCTTCGGTTATTACTCTGTAATAATCCAAGCCCTATACTGTAAGAGGTATCTGAAGTCCTTCAGGGCTACGACAGTAGCAAGGTTGTTGGTACGAGTGGAGTAAGTTGAAAAACTGTGAAGCCGTATATAGTTCTGTTCATTGTTCAGATATCTCTGGATGCTTGAAAGAAATCCTCTCAAACTTATGGGTTCATGGTCGGAACCATCTTTTTTTCTAACGCCAAAGATGAATTTTTGAGGAAAGGTCAGTGGTCGTTCAGAACTTATGGTGAAAGCTCATGAAAAGATTTTTAACCAAGCACTGAGCAAGGGCTTAATGTGTGAATGAAATTCTTCGGAATAACTCGACGTCGTACGCACTTTTCCTCTTTGTATTCGGATTTTCTTGTTCTTCTACGAATTGGAGCAGTTCCTCATCTGTGATCTCGACAAACCTCCTCTTTTTTGATAAACTTAAAACTTAGGGTGCGTTTCTTTCTTAAAATCCCAGATCAGATAAAAAATCCGAATCCTAAGGAGTTTTCTTTAAGAAAAGAAACAATGTATCCAAATCCAAAAAGGATTATTTTTCATTCATTTCCATAAAACGATCCACAATATCGACGGTATCCCTGAAAAAGAATAACACGGCTGCTGATAATGTTGCAAGTTTGCTCATCTTTTATTTTATTCTGGACTATTGGCTCGAAGATACTGCTTTAGGAGGGACAAATGTTGACGGGTCTTGTAACAAGATATGTGCTGGCAAAGTACGTGCCGGCGAAGTTGCGCAGCATTTGTTCTTGTGGGAAAAAAAAACAAACAAAAAAAACAAAAACAAAAAACAAGCGGGTCCTTTTTCGTATTGCGATTTTATCACCACGATAAAACGGATATAATCGAGCGTTTAAACCATGCCTCGGGTTTAAAAATGGCCCTAAAGATGAGCAGTGTAGTCAAAAACCTGATGTACGTACGCAATAAAATTGTTTCGAGTATTCACTCTTTTCGCGGATCCGTAATTAAGAAACGCTTCGGATCACGTATTCAAAGTATCCTGTTGTGGACATGATCCAAAGAATCGACCTCCGTTGAAGATCATTTGGATCAGTAATCCGTTTTTGGATTTTAGTAAAGGAAGTTATGCAAACCCTCGAATTCTCCCAACCCCTCTCGTGTCTATATCAGGCTATGCAAACACGGAAAACGTTTTCTATTGCTTAAATAATAAAGTTAGATATGATATATATATATATACCACAAAGGCAAAATTACAGCTAATTGAAATACATATCTGCCTCTACGGGTCTAAATTGAATGGCATTTTGCAGTGGTCTTTAGTTTCGTTAACAAAGCGTCCTGTTATGGCTATTAACAGACTGGTGCTCGCCCAAATGGAGATCATCACAATATTTATAACCGCCACTAACACGTGTCTTTTCCATCGTCTTCGCCAAACAGCCATGATGGGCATATTCTGATAGCGAGTTTCAATAGCTATAGAAACACTCGTGAAAAACCATTCGATGGATAGTGGAACGGAAGTGTTAAGTACAAATAACTGAAATAGTAATAAAGGTGAGTTATCAGTGGTGTAAAAATATTGGTATAAGTACAGAAGGCCGTTCACCGAGATTATTGCACTGGATTCATACAACATGCCCATAATACAGATATCGGCTGCAAGTCTCTCTCGACGAGGCGTACGAAAACCTCCAAGGGGAATTTTTCTCTTTTCCAGAATTTGATTAGAATAATGATCTATGATAACCATCGTGCTTCGCTCAATAACTTCTGCAATCCCATTAATGACTCCAATGAAGGCAACGGACCCTAGACTCTGAAGATCCACTTGTAATAATCTCACCATTGTAGCCGATCCACAATAAAGTGTACCCAGCAGCACAAATGAAGTGGATGGATAACTGATACGGTTCCATGAACGCTGAACACAAACACGAGAAGCACCTTTGAGTAAAACTACAATCAGAGGAGAAAATATCGCTATTATCAGTTTACCAGATTTTTCCTGTTTGTTGTATGCTGGATATATTAAATAGGCTACAAGTACAGCTGATAGCTGTGTGGCAACACACGCAACAATTAAAAGTAGCAACGTCTTTATCTGCCTTTTTATAGGCCCTGGATTTAAGTGTCTTGTCAAAACGTAAAACAGTACACATATATTAATGTGGTATGTAGCCATTGCAGGAATTTTCTGTGTAGATGTCAACCTAGACTGCGAAAGTCCTAAAGCTTGCATGGTTATTCGATAACCTGAGTCCAGAATGTAAAAACCAAAACACAAAAAGAACAGAGTTGATTTTAATCCTAATATTTGGAACGGCCGAAAATAACATATAATATTGAAAAAGCATGGCAAGTAGATAAACCAGACGGAAAATACTTCTGAAATGGTTATAACCCACTGTAGCTTGATTGGAATCGATTGTTTGGGACGAGTTAAACAGATGAGCTGCGTTTGAAAGCTAAAGTAAAAGGCAGCAATCGAAGCCAGTCCAGCAACAGACGCACTCAAGACGGAGATGAATAAACCAAAGTACATTGAATTCAAAACTGTATGAAAAATCGATGGTCTTAGATGCTTCCACGCCATCGCACTTTCACTTATTTCTTCTTGTGTTTGTTCGCTGTCATCCGTTGAGCTTGCATTTATGATTCTAACTTCTGGACGGTTTGACGTCCAATAATCACTAGCACTTGCTTCGCTGTTGCCGTATTCTTGGTAGATAACTTCATCGACAGATTGAGCGTACCATTCTCTGCCCGTGTCTTCTAGAGCATTGTAGCCAAAGAGAGATGAATGGTTCTCGCTTCTGGGAAAGTTTGAGTGTTCAGCGACACTCCTTGTGAAGCTAAAAAGAATGTGGCCAAATATCTCTGCAATGGTATGACCAACCATTTTCTAAAAGGCGTAATTTAAGGAGTTGTTACCAGTACCTTGGAGTATTGGAAATGGCCGTATGTAAGGCTAAACCTTTTGGAACAGCTTTCGAAACCTGCCTGTGTCCAGTTTAAAACCAAAAGTTTGAAAAATAAGTCCTGCTGAAAACGTACAATAGACAGCACAAAACTGAAATAAGAAAAACCGTTTCATCAATCAAGAATCAGCCTGGTCACACCTTGAGCAAATCAATTCAGCAACATAATTACTTATAAAAAATTTGAGTTCAGAGTAGAACTTATTCTAGGTTATCAACCTGTTCTGATGACAATTATTGAGTGATTTTCTCAGTGTTTCCGCGCCGAGTAGTTGCTTATCAGCTGTATCAGGCAAATCGTGGATGTGACGAGTTTCTATTTTAACTTTCATTATTCATCTATCATAACCAATGTAAATTTTCTCAGGTTCGCTATTCAAGTGGTTGCTATTAACATTATGCTGTGACATATTTATAAGCGAAATTAATTACAATTGAAAGAGAAAGTATTCCTTGCAGGTGGTGCTAAGGCGTTTTGAAATTCCTATGATTGCTTTCTCGTTGATTTTAATTTCCGTCTGGAATTGAGTTGGCTTGCAAAAAAATTTAGACGAAATCTATCCGGAAATCGAGTATTTTAATTTTCAGGGGACAAAAACCTTGTACCAGAACAATTCTTGTGTAATTTGACATTTATTTTCTAGGGCTCCCATGAGGAATAGTCTTTGGTGTTATTACAGATAACTAATTATATCCATAGCCTTTGAAAAATGTAAAAAAGAATGCGATATTGTTTAAACTATTTTGGTAGAAGGTTTTTGTCCACTAAAAATTGAAATATACTCAATTTCCTGATGGAAAGCAAGCAAGCAAGATCAGTGGAGGTACTAGAGGTGGGGGTAACATCACTTTCATCCTCTTCATGTCCTTCATCCAGGTCATCCTCCATGATCAAGAGCCCCCTGGATGAAGTCCATGCTTCCCACACCTCTTCGCAGGCTTCTGATACAGAGCTTTCGCACCATGGGCTCATCAAGTGTCTGTATGAACTCCTAAAAGAATACACTAAAACAATTGAATTTTCACATTACCTAGCTAAAGACAACAAAAAGGACTTCCATTTGTATCACATATTCCATTATTTAGTTTAAATGATTATTATTCGGGCATATAAGGTAAGAGTTTCACTCATACTTGTAAAGCTTTATTTTTAAATAAAATATACTCTGCTTATATAAATATGCTCACTTTTACATCATTGTTTTCCCTCACCCTTTCTTTTTCTTCACTGGGCCTGCTTTCAATTTGATAAGAGTGGGGCCTTCTGTTGCTCGAAATTGGATGGCGTCCTGTGTCTCCACCAGGCTGTTCAAAGCAAAGGAATATAAATGGTAGTGGAATTCATACACTGGAAAATATTGTTGTTGCTTATGTGAAAATAATTCTCCTACAAAATCCGGATCAAAAAATAATGATGATCGATAAGAAATTTAATAATTATACACGCTAAAAGTGCTGGATACACGCCAGATACACTTCGACCACAGAGATCAGTGACCCTGAGTAAACATGTGCTCATCGATGTCTCTGACCCAAACGTAACCGCCATTCTTGTACTTACTTACTTGCATCACAACGAAACAGGGACAGAACGATGCAAAAAATAAGTTGTCCCTTTCAAGCTCAACTTTCACGACCGCAAACAAGTAATGTTACTCACCTTGTTTCGGCAAAGGCTTCGCCGTGGATCCACACGAACATTCAGTGCCACATGTTCTTCCAGCACCCTTGCAAGGACATCCTCGATTGGTATTCGCCGTTCGTTTTGTGAAACAAGTGCTTTTGCACTTGCACGAGATGCGATTTTCCTAAAAAATATGCCGTGGAGATAACAATTAATTATTTCGCTAGACAGCATGTGGATGAAAAGCACGAATTCATTAAAGAAACCTTATCGACATCGAAGGAAACTTACTGCCACAGACTCTGTAGCCTCGTCCGAGATCATGATTTCGCGTCTATAGCTATAATAGAACCGGACGAAGAAAACACTCAAGTATACGAGCAAAAACTCGGAAAGAACTGTGCTATAAACGGAGGTTTGCTGCCAAAAATCGGCCTGATTTCCTAAATCCAATATGGCGGAAAGTTGAGAAAATCAACAGAGCAGGCAAAAATTCTGCACATGCGCAGGTCGTGACATAGCCCCGTTATCACAAATCATAATTCAATCAAAATACATCTCTGCTTCCGATTGGCTGAAATCCAACGGCTAATTTTTCATAGCCAGCTAGTGTTGACTAGCGCGAAGATGGGGTCGACGTCAATCCCTCATCCCGAAACTGCTGATGCGAGCCTAAGCAAACAAATTTTATGAAACGGCAAATCTACAAGGACAAGGACAAGGACAAGGACAAGCCCTTTCCTACAAACATAAGAAGCTATGGGAGAGTATGTTTGGGCGTCGGTGTGCTTGGCTTGCGTGAAGTTTTTTATATGTATTAGGGATGTTTGAGTAGTGCAGTAGCGTTGCATATTTCAGGGGTTGGTTGAGATGTGTGAAGTGAAAAGCGTGGCTACATATATTGGACGTGGAGTGGTAAGACAATGGCTGTACATGCAGTTTGTTACCGTGAAATTGGTTTCTGGTAGAATTTAACTGAAATGAAGTTACAAAAATATCTTTTTTGAAAGGTAAAAGTGATTTTAGGTGTTGCAGTGAGGTATTTTTTAAATTTTATTTTATTAGATTCGCCAATTACTGGCAGGGTCACCGCAAAAGCATGACGCCAATTACTGCGGACCCGTAACAGTCCCTCCCCTCATGAGAGATAGACCACCACACCGGGGACTACGTCCCCTACTCTTTACGAACAGTGTGTGGGTTCTTTAACGTCCCACAGAATTTATATATGCAAGGGTTGTGAGACAAGGCCTACGGTTTATCGTCCTTATCCGAGAAGACTGGAAAGTCTAACCGTTTGCAGATGTCTTTACAAAGGCAGCACTTTCTCCTCAGTTATTTAAAGACCCTGAGTGTTGGTCCGGCAGGGACTTGAACCAGCGGCCTCCCGCTCGGAAGACCGGCGCTTATCCAACTGAGCTAACCGGGCGGCAGTTAGGTAGTTGCTGGAGTACTAATTTGGTTATGTTACAGCCTGTTAAATGAAGTGGTGGTTGTGAAAGATCTTTTCAATACTCGAAAACATACTTGTACTTATTTCAAACTTTGTTAGGCTTTCTGTTTATGGTTTCGGTTTGTTTTTAGGTTATTTTTGACAATATTTGTATGGAGAGAATAGGGGTAAGGGTCGGGGTAAGGAAAAGTTCGTTTAAAATAGAGAAGGCCGGGTATGAAGATGTTGGGGGCGGGGGGGGGGGGGGGGGCGGAAAGTTTAATTTTTAAAACTTCCTTCCCTTCGGCGGTTTTAAGTTCACCCGGATGGGGAATTTTTAGAAGAAAAAGGGCTGTTCGGGGGGGGAAATTTCCCCCAAAAAGCAGATGTTGTCGTGCGGGTTTTTTTTTTCTTTGTTTTTTAAACGATATTTGTTGGGAAAAAAGTTAAAATGTCCAACGACGCTTTGGGCC